CCTGGGTCATTGGGTGATAGGCATTTGTGTTATAAAAAATTATTTATTTAACAGAGTGGCCAGTTAGCGCCCTGGGTCATTGGGTGATAGGCACTTGTGTTATTAATATTACAATTTTGAATTTCCGCTTGTCTTTGGCAATGCCCCTTCACTGCTGTGCTGTCTGATCAACGGAACATTCTCCCTAGATCGTATAGCTATATATACGATCTAGGGAAAAAGTTCCGATATTGCATCCGCCTAACCCAACGCTGGGAGGGGCTGAGCAGTGCCTGACTGCACTACTACACTGGCGCTGAGACGAACGCACTTACGCGTAGCAAAGTCGAAAGAGAGGGCGCTCACGTAGGGCAAAATGCCCTTACATCTAGTTATATATACATACAGCGCTTGATATTCTTTCTACTATACAACACTCCCACTTAGAAACACACAAGCGCGCAAGCTTTCTTTGTGTTCTTATTAAATCGCATGTCTTACAAAAATACGCAAACCATTTAAAGGCTTAGGCCAATTAGCCCTCTTAAATATTCAAAACAGTTATCTGATAACGCCTTAGTTTAAATGTCCGCTTGTTGATCTTTGGTACACACGTACTTAATTGCAAATAATCCATTGTTGTAATTTTCGCGAATGAATTTGTTTTTTACATCAACATGTTTTGTGCGACAGTGATAGCGCAAATCTTTAATAATTCTTATCGCACTTTGATTGTCGACGTACAACATAGGTTTTTTGATATTACAAAATATGTCTCTAATTAATCGGTCAATCCAAATAATTTCTTGAGCCGTAGTACATGCAGCTACAAATTCAGACTCTGTAGTTGAAAGAGCAATAGTGCTTTGTTTACGCGAGCCCTATGATGGCTATCACCTAATTTTAATTAAACCCAGAAACAGATTTTCGAGTTGTATGATCGCTTGTAAAGTCAGCATCGCTGAACGCCAGTATTGTTGAACAATCGTTCGCTCTTTTATAATTAAGGCTATACCCTAATGTACCTTTAATGTACTTAATAATTCGTTTGATCGCATTCCAGTGAATTTTTGATGGATTTTTAGCATATTGGCAAAGAACTCCCACTGAAAAAGTAATATCTGGACGTGTTACTGTTGATGGGAACATTATAAGCTCCCGATTGCTTCTTTATACGGTACATTTAAACTTGTTTCGTTAATATTTTCATAAATAGAAGAAAAACTATTAGGATCGGCTGGTACGCGTACGCTATTTGCATCTAGTAATTTAAATTTATTTACTATTTTTTTAACGTACGATCTTTGATGAATAAGCATAGATTGGTCAGATAAATAATCAATTTCAATTTCTAAAAATATTTTTAAATCGCTTGTTTTTACATCAAAATCAGTTTTAAGATATTTTAGGAATTCATGAATTCTTTTCTCGTTTTTACAAGCAATAGCTCCGTCGTCAACATAAATAATTAAAATTAATTTATCTTCCGATCCTTTGCTTATAAAAACACAAAGATCTGCATCGGTTGGATGCAAATTAAATCGTTTTAAGCAGTCCACAAATTTTGTGTTCCAGCACCTAGCCGATTGCTGCAATCCGTACAGGCTTTTTCGTAATCAACAAACCTTATTCGTACCGTCTTCAAAACCTTCGGGTTGTTTCATATAAATAGTTTCCTGTAACTCGCCATTCAAAAATGCGGATTTCACATCAAATTGTTTTGTGTACATATTATGCGAGGAAACTATAGCTAAGAAAACGCGGATCGAATTATATCGTGCTACGGGGCTGAAAATATCTTTATAATCAATGTCTACCTTATAAAGATGTCCTTTTATAACAAGCCTAGCTTTAAAACTTGGATTTTCACAATTGGCATTGTCTTTTATTTTAAAAACCCAGTGATTGGATAAAATTTTAGCATTAGAAGGAGAATTTACTAATATCCAAGTTTTGTTTTGACTCAAAGCTAAAATTTCTTCCTTCATAGCTACCATCCACGCATCCGAATTTTCGTCCTTAATCGATTCATCGTAATTATTCGGTTCTTCCATTTGCGCGATAAATAGTTCATCGATATCTTCCGAATCAAAAGTGTAATTGTATATCACATCGCCCCTATCAGGTGGTTGAATATTGTCGCGATTTCTTAAGTTATATATATTTTCTTGCCTTTCTTCAGGCTCTTGAACATTTTCATTTAAAACATTTTCCAAATTATTTTGTATATTAGCATTTTCTAAATTATCATTTTGCAGATTTTTAATTTCTACTTCATTTACAGGCATTTGCGCATCAACAGGAATATTGATATTTTCGTTTTCCTCAGTAAAATTTTTGTTACTCTTGTTTGGCACTTCGATAGTACAAAATTCATAGTCATACATGCTTTCGGAATTCTTTTCAAAATTATTAATTTTTAATTCATTTTTAAATAAAACATCGCGGTGTTTTTCTACTCTATTTTTTTCAGAATTAAAAACTCGGTAGCCTTTTGTACAATCGTCGTAACCAACAAAAATACCAATCTTCGATTTTGCATCTCATTTTTGACGATGATTTTTATTTACATGTGTATATCCTTCAGTGCCGAATACTTTAAAATATTTAAAAACGTTACGTTTATTATGCCAAAGTTCGTATGGAGTCTTGTTAGGCACGCTTGTTTTTCTACTTCTATTCAAAGTGCACGCGGACGTGTTGACAGCTTCAGCCCATAGGCGTTTTGGTAAATTCTTGGACAACAACATCGTGTGCGACGCTTCGACAAGCGTCCGATTTTCGCGCTCGGCCTTGCCGTTTTGTTGGGAAGTATATACTACTGAACGCTGGTGCTTGATTCCGTATTTAAACAGTATATCATCAAGCTCTTTATTAACAAATTCCAAACCATTATCGGTTCTAAAAATATTTATTTTCATATTTGTTTCTTTCTCAAATCGTTGCATGAAATTTATAAAACAATCCTTCACTTCCCTTTTATGCTCTAAAAAATACACGGTAACGTAGCTTGAAAAGTCATCTTTGAATAATAAAAAGTATCGCGAATTGCCAACTGACTTTATTTCCATAGGCCCGCAAAGATCAGTATGTATAATTTCACCAACTTTAGTCGTACGAGTTTCGCTTATTGGAAAAGGACTACTGTGCATTTTTCCTAACACGCATGCATCCCAAAAAGAAGGTGATTCTTCTAACTAAATGCCGTTTCGGTCAAAGAAACCTTTTACGTGTGAAAAATTTTGGTGCGCGAGGCGCTCGTGCCAAAGCTGCAACGAGCCTTTGTTTTTGTTTACATTTTGTTCCGCCACGAGGGATTACTCCAAGGTATCGATTTTAATATTTAACTTAAAAATGGACTCTTCGTCAGATTTATTTCCGGTCAAAACAATCTCACCATTTTTACAGAACGCGCAATTTTTATTATCAGATTAAAAAACTATATTTCTTGCAAGAGCTGATCCCATCGAGAAAAGGTTAAATTTTATTTCGGGAATATATAAAACGTTCGAAAGATGTTTTCTTTCCCACGTCTTTACGTTAAACGCTCAGTCCAACAGCATCAACACAACGACCGTCACCTAGGCAAATTCGCACATGAGCATTTTCGAGGTTATCGAACCACTCGTGCCTATTCGACATATGCTCCAACGCTCTCGAGTCGAGAAGCCACGCTTCGTTTTGGTTAGTACCGTCACGCGAAAATAACACAGTACCAATAAATGCGCCGTTGTCTCTATCTTCGTCGTTGGTGTGCTGCTGCTTCGAAGTACCCGACTGTTGGGCTGGCTTTCCGTGAAGACCCCAGCAGGCCCGCTTGTTGTGACCAAGCTTGCCGCAGTTCCAGCAGCCTTTCTTCTTTCTGGAATCTTCTCCCGGTTCGCTTTTCGAGGAAGTCTTATTCGCTTCAGCGTTTTTCTTCGCGTGTTTCTTGTTTTTGTTGCCTGCGTAGAATGCGTTATGTTCGGGATTTTTTTGAACTGCCATCCTTGTTTCCTCCATAATCAACCTCGACGTGAGATTTTCAACGGTTTTCTGATCCAATGCTGCCGAGTCCCATGCTGATTTAAAATGATTATAACTTGATGGCAAAGTCATTAAAATTTTCGTGATCAACATATTGTCCGAGATTTCTTCTTTAAAGGATCTCAGCTTATTGCACAAGTCTTGTATTTTTAAAATGTGCGGGGCAATATCATCACTTGGATCTCGTATTAAAGTGAAACACTTTTGTTGCAATAAATGAACACTAGTTTCACTTTTGTTCTCGTAAATAGAATGGAGCTTATCCCACATGTCCTTTGCAGATTGGCAACTCAAAATGTGGGTCATCGGTTGTCTTTCAATTGAAGTGACGATGAGTTTCTGATTTGTTGACGACGAAACGAGGAAGACAGGATCAAATCAAACAAAGGAGAAAATAGAAATAAAATAATGTTGGCTTTATTTCAATGAAGTACAAAAAGGGCTAAACGCCGACACCTATACCTAATCTCTCTGCGATTCACACAATACTGGTTGTTCCACTCGCACGCCGCGAGCTCCCTCGTCGAACCGCCAGTACCCTATGCTCACGCTCTCTCTCTCTTTCTCATACGGTTACACCTATAGGTATATAAATGTTCTCCTGAGTGTCGGCGCCAGCGTTTAAATATACGCATACATTTGAATTACGCACAATGCGAACAACCGACTGTGATCAGTGTTGGTATCTGAAATTATCATTTATTTATTAATTATTTACACTGCTGAGGCAGAGCACCTATCGCCTGAACGGCGTAGGTCGTCCTTGACGTTCCTACCCAGATATTTTAATCCTCATCTAAGTCAAGCCACTTTAGGGCACGGGATTACATAATTACACTTTGGTTGGCTTGACAGCAAGTAACGACTTTACGATCATGGTGTAAGAATAGACA